TCTCGACGTCCCCACAGCCGAGGGCCTGCTTTCCCAACTCCGGAAATGGAGTTCTAGCCTGCCCGCCTCTCTCCGCCAGTTCCGGAGTGTTTCCCACAGCCCACCATATCTGGAACCTGCAGCTCGGCAGCGACTTGTTGGAAGCATTCACGTTTCCTGCCTATACTACTTTGCGGTGATCCTCGTAACCCGTCCGTACCTGATCGCGTATCTCGTATCTCGTCTTCGTGGGAAAGCACCAGACCATTTGATCAGTGACCCGGATGAGGCCTCTGATGTCGCTATTAAGAACAATAAAGTATCCAAACTGGCCCAGGTGTGCGTAAGTTCTTCCTTATACATGATAGATATGTGTCGACGGGCAAAGTCGGCGGGGCTTGTTTTTCGAAACTTTTGTCTCCTCAAGTATGCCCCCTTTTACCTCCTCGCTTTGTTCAAACTCCTTCCTTCCAAACCTATCTTGAAAAGACTTGATAATAATGTCTACCCATAGAGCTTGGATTTTTGGCGCCGGCCTTATCCTAGGCTTCTCTATGTTTGCTGGAGAGCCTCGCCGTGACATTGAGAGTCTCTTCAACAGCACCTTACATCTTCTCGATGATATTGGCCGAACTAGCCCACAGGCCCAGCTTTACCATCAAATCCTGACCAGCTTCAATGATGCAGTGACAAAGTTCCGCAACCGCGTCGCGGGAGAGGTTTACCGCACGGTACAGGACTACATGGACCAGATCCTCATGATAGATCCGACCGTTGACGGAGGTTCGACTGCGCATGCTAGGGATAGAGAAGATTCGTACACTGTCTGGAACGATGATTGGTTGGCTGGTGCAATCCGGAGTGCTGAGACAGGCGGGGTTGCATTAGATCCAGTTTTGAACGGGACACAGGGTGCGCAGATGTTCCATGACCCTGGTGATTGGGGTGATATAGATGGTATGGAACTCGAGGAGTCCCTGTTAATGGACATTGATCCATTCGATCAGTTCTTTTTTACGGTCGAATGAGTTTCCTGTTGCCTGCTATTTGTTGTTCTTAAAGCATTTAATCACCCAATCAACATTGTATGTCGAGCAGTGCTTAGCATGCGTCAACTGACGGCCAAGACCACTGTGGCCCCTGCCTCTATGATTAACATCCACCCGCCCTTCTCTGCATTTCTGGCATCAGCGTTCCAAGGTCTAGGCTTGGGACCCATGCTGCACTAGACGGTAAGAGAATGTGAGATGAGGGCTTTGAATACCCTGATCGGTCCGGTTCGTCCGATTGGTAAGGAGACATCATTTCCCTCCATATGTGGCTTCGATTCTCAGCAGCTATTAGCGGACGTTTTCCGCGCTGATTGCTCTTCTCATGTTACCTCCGCTGCAGATCCGGAAATACGTGGTATCTTTGTATAGTACCAAAGTCCAATAAACCATTTCATCCAAAGTGAGTAAGTAGCACGGCTAGTATATTTAGCCAGCAAATAAATGACTCATACATTGGCTTTGTAAAAAAGTTTCAAACGTGGAGCAACGTCCGGCTATGTTCCGGATCTGTTCCGGCTATCTTCCTCATCTCGGTTAGTTACTTAGTATGTAAATGCCCTCTAGTCACGCAAGAACGTTTTTTGAACTCAACAAATTGAAACTCACATATTCCCAGGAAAAGCCCCATGATGCTAGTTATGTCGCTTCCTCTATTAGCACTTGTTATTCCATTGATTGCAAGTGCCAGAAAAGTGGAACATCGAGGAATAACTCCAAACCCCTCAGTTACTGTACACAATGGCACCTACTATGGACTTCACAACCCAGTCTATGATCAAGACTTCTTTCTTGGCATGCCTTATGCACAGCAACCTATTGGCGAACTTCGCTTGCAGACCCCACGGCCAATGAACACCTCCTGGCCGGTACCAAGAAATGCGACGGAATACTCACCCGCTTGTGTCGGGTTTAATCAGACCAAGGGTGCTTCCGAAGCCTGCCTTACACTGAATGTCGTCCGCCCAGCAAGCATCGATCCTCCTAGCAGTCTGCCCGTTGCTGGTCAGTAATCATCCTGGATCTAATCATAAGGGCTAGAACTGACCTTGCACTCGGGCGCAGTCTGGATTCATGGCGGCGGATACACTTCCGGCTCTTCATCAGAGAAACAGTATAATCTTTCCTTCATTGTTGACCAGTCAGTTCAAATGGGAAAGCCCATTGTCGCAGTCAGTCTAAATTATCGTCTTCATTGCTGGGGTTTCATGTGGAGCAATGAGATGAAGGAAGCCGGAGTAGGGAACCTGGGACTTAGAGACCAACGCTTAGCTCTACATTGGATACAAGAGAGTACGTATATATTTGTGCTGAACCTATAGTACGGATCTGACCATGACTTAGACATTGCTGCTTTTGGTGGCAACCCTGCCCAGGTTACGATCTGGGGTGAAAGTGCCGGCGCTAATAGTGTTGGAACGCATCTGGTTGCTTATGGAGGGCGCGATGATGGTATATTCCGTGCAGCAATCAGTGAAAGTGGTGCCCCGAATGTTTATCAACGTTATCCGACGCCTGATGATTGGCAGCCCTATTATGATGGCATTGTGAATGCATCAGGCTACAGTTCAGCAACGGATACTTTGGCTTGTCTCCGAACGATCCCAACTGACACATTGCATAGTATCTTCGACAACACGTCTATTGTACCCGTACACTCTATATCAGGTCTCAGCGGAGCAAAATTCATTCCTGTCATAGATGACGATTTCATTGAAGGAAGTGGCACGATTCAGCTTCAGGAGGGCAAATTTGTCAAAGTTCCATACCTGATTGGAGCTAACGCCGACGAAGGGACAGCATTTGCTGTACCGGGAGTCAACACGGATGCCGAGTTTCGAGAGCTAGTCAAAGGCTGGGGCCTTGACAACGCTACTACTGATATTTTGGAGGCCCTATACCCAAACATTCCTCAGATTGGGATCCCGGCCATAATGGTTGGAGAGCCACCGTCCGGATATGGAAGGCAATACAAGCGTGTGGCCGCATTTCAGGGTGATGTAAACATCCATGGCGCGCGTAGGTTGGCTAGCCAGACCTGGTCATCCCGCAATATCTCGGTGTATAGCTACAGGTTTGACGCTGTCAGTCCTGGGAATGGCCCTGCTGCTGGATCCTATGTCGGAGCCACTCATGGTACAGAAATTCCCTACGTCTTTCATAACGGTGATGGCGTGTGGTATGACTCCAACAAGACGCCCATGGAAAGCATACCGAATAGTTATTCACACTTGAGCACAATCATGTCAAGAATGTGGGTCAGTTTTGTGACAACATTGGACCCAAATTATTCTGGAGGTAAGGGCCCACAACCTATTTTTATGATTAGTACCCAATTTCAACCAAGAGCTGAATTAACTGTTTTCTTAGAGGATGTCCACTGGCCGAGATACAATATCGATCATCCGGAAATAATTTTCTTTGACAATACTGTCTCGAATCTCTCATATGTTAGGTCGGACGTTTACCGCGCGGAGGGCATCAAGTACATCGGTGATCACCTTGCAAGTAGTTTCGGGGAATAGTGAAGATCAAGTATCTTCGAAGTCTAATATTAGAGTGCATATACCTATATAAGCGGTGTGTGTGATACGTAAAGCACATACGACCATAGGGTGTGGAAAACAGGGCTTCCCGTCCGCTCAGCCGTACTTAAGCCACACGCCGGGAGGTTAGTAGTTGGGTGGGTGACCACCAGCGAATCCCTTCTGTTGTATGTTTTTTCAACTATTTTTCAACTACCAAAATAGAAGTCTTGAAGAAGCATCTCGAGGTCTCTCGTCCTCGAGGATAGAGAACATATTGAACAGTATTTTCCTGAGTCATTGACATTAAATGGAAGGCAATTCATGAACCGAATCAGTCAAGCTACATTTACTACGCAGGGAAACCAACTTTGCTAGCTTGACAGAAGTTATGCGGGACGGTCAATCTTGTTAGTTCAATCTCGGGCTTTTTTGGTGGTACAGGTGTAAACGGGTAGATCACCTAGCATGCAGTAACTGGCATGTTACGTAAATCTCGACTGGCGGCGAGTAATTCCGGCATTCCAGTGGGCGCTGTCACCTCCTTTGTCACACCTACAGCGCTGGCAGGTGGTCTTCGGAGACATGACAGAAAATGGGAGCCCAGTAAAGGGTCTGGAGGTGTTGCTAAAGCTGTGGTGATGTTGCCATTGGGTTCCGCGGAAAGGGGATCTTGCCGCATGGTATGGTTCTACGTGTAAGATGGTCCGTTTTTCGGCAATTGACTACAATTACAGGTCCCTGGTTCTATTCGCCAGGAGGTAGAGTATATACACAAACCTCTAGTGGCTACGTGTCGTAGAAAAAGAATTGAGACGGATCTTTTGGGGGTGCCATTGAGCTTTCTGAAAATCCAGGAGTGTATTAGCTGCCAAGGCGGGAGACTGGCAGTCTTTGACACTAAACATAATTGGTATTGAGTTGAAGACAGAGTCCAGATGCAAATGACTCCAAAAAGGAGTAGGACCGCTCCGTTCTCACCATTCTCACCGCGTCGCATATAGCGCAATGATCAGAGACTCAGGAGGAGCAATATTCTGGCAGGGTATACTGACAGCGCGCTGCAGATCTCCCCCTTGAGTGGGAGCTGCGTCAATGAGACAATATTCATTTATGCAAGGCTGCCGCGGCTGGACTTACCCCGCTCACCATATCCATACGGCTACATGCTCACCCCGGCTGATCTTCGAGGGGAATAGCAGGGGGTTGGGGATGGGGGTGATGAAGATCTACGACTGCTAGTGGATAGATGGTGCGTTCATCCTTTACAACACCACGTACAAATCTAGATAAATGTCGGCTTGTATTCTAATTGCTATTTCAACCCATTTCAGCTGTTAGAAACCTGTCTGCTACCGTGAAAGCCTCTTTGACAATGCCTGTATATGCTCCAACTTGAACCGACTTTGATGCGATTGTCGTAGGGGCCGGGTTTGGAGGTATCTACATGTGCAAGAAGCTCACAGACCAAGGCCTATCTGTCAAGGTCATTGAAGCTGCACCTGATATGGGAGGGACATGGTATTGGAATCGTTATCCTGGTGCATTGTCCGAGTAAGTACTCACCACGATACAAAGGAGTATGCTCATGGAACAGCCAGCACACGATCTTATTTCTACCGATACTCGTGGGACCTTGAGGATCTCCGCGAATATCCTTGGAAACGAGAGTTTCTGAAGCAGCCCGAGATATTGGCTTACTTGAGGCATGTTGTCGACAGGCATGATCTACGAAAATATATGCAATCTAAAACGCAAGTGCAAAGAGCTATTTATGATGACGTTGATAACTTGTTGACTGTTTCGCTATCAGCCGGCCCTCGGTTAACAGCCCGATATATTGTGACGGCTGTGGGACTGCTATCTAAAATCAATTACCCTGGTATCCCCGGGCTCAAGACATTTGAAGGCGAGATGTATCACACTGGGAATCGGCCCGCCTCCTATGATTTCACAGGAAAGCGCGTCGGAGTAATTGGAAACGGATCCACAGGTGTTCAGTTGGTCACTGCATTGGCCGATCAAAATGTCAAGCAACTACTCTCCTTTCAGCGTCACCCACAGTATGTCGTTCCAGCAGGTGATGCGGAGGTCCCTGCCGCCACTCGAGCAAAACTGGATGGGTGCTAGGAGCAGGTATGGGGCGAGGTAAGGAACAGCGTCCTTGGCTTTGGCTTCGAAGAAAGCTCCAAGCCCACATTCAGTGTTAGCGAGGAAGAGCGCGAAAGAATCTTTGAAGATGCCTGGGCGAAAGGTAATGGGTTCTATTTTATGTTTGGCACGTTCTGCGACATATATTTTTAGATGAGGAAGCAAACAAGGCTGCTGCGGAGTTCATCTGCCGAAAGATTCGTCAAATGGTGAAGGATCCTGTCAAGTCTGAAAAGCTCATGCCCTTTTATTGGTATGCCAGGCGCCCACTGTGTTATACAGGCTACTATGAATAGTTCAATCGTCCGAATGTGGATGTCGTCAATATTGGGACCAACCCTATCACCCGATTATTAAACAAAGGAATACGGACAGCCGACGGATCAGAATACGAGCTGGATATCCTCATTATCGCAACAGGCTTTGACGCGGTAGATGGAAATTACAAGCGGATGCATATCCAAGGTGTCCTGGGAAAGACTCTTAAGGATCGGTGGAAGCAGGAGCCCAGCTCTTTCCTAGGAACCTGCATACCTGGATTCCCGATTCTCTTCACCGTTCTCGGCCCAAACGGTCCGTTTACCAATATACCGCGCTTGTTTGAGATTCAGGTGGAGTTCATCTCCGACATGATCTCCCACGCGAGAAAGGTGGCGGCAGCTAAATCAGCAGTAAATGGTTCATGTGTGGAGGTTGACACCACAGAATTACAAGCATGGATGCGACAATGCGATGAGGCAAGCGCCAACAGCCTGTTTCGGAAAACGCCCTCCTGGATCTTTGGGGCGAATGTAGCTGGGAAAAGGCCTTCCGTGTTGTTTTACTTTGGGGGGCTAGCGACGTACAGGTAGATATTGGAGAAGATTGTGCAACAGAATCACAAGGGCTTTAGCCTTGTCTAGAATGTGGGTCACCTCATAAAGTGCTGAATTTATAGGTCAGAAATCAAAATAGATGGTATGCGGTCGCCTTAATAGTTCAAATAACCTGCCTGGGGACTCTTAAATCTGCTTCTCATCCCGCCTTCCATTCCCGCGCGAGGAATCCATTACCAAAGTACTAGAAAACATTATTCGTCTCGTATATATACCCATAAATACATAGAACAGATAAATAATTCACGCCTCCCCTCCGCCAAGCAATACGGAAGATGGGATGGTGAAAATGCACCAGGAAATTACTCCATGCCGTTTGCTTCACGTCTATAGTCCTTCTTGCTTCCGGCTTTGCCCTTACACTTATAAGCATGGCAGACGTCGAGCATTGCTCAGTATATGTTGAGACACTGCCATGGGGTGTGACGACGTATGGGTCAAGGAAAGCTAGAACGAACCAACAAACTGCATATGACCTTTAAAAATGTGGTAATACTCAAAGAAAGAATTTGAATACCCGAAAATGGCAATATACAGATATGCGTGAGAAATGTTGCATGAGCACACCGTCTCCCTAGCAAGACACAAGAGCGTGATGTAAGGAATAGATTACACCTGTCACACAGACAATCTAAATTATCATGATATGTTCACCAGTGAGAATGATGCGGTCGGCCTTTTAGAGCTGTTCACAGGAAAGGCAGTTGTTATGTATCATCATGGCAGCCATATCCGCCAAGAATGGCTTCGTTAAGAAGGTCATATTGAAATTGGCGCCAGACGCAGATCTGTCCGACGATCAAATGCTAGTAGTGATAGTTAAGTCTCTTCTGTTATATATGGTCAAGTGACTATGAAGAGTAGCCGGGCTATACTGCTGGGGCATATACACACAGCGGGTTCGGAGGAATCCTGGTGCCAAATAAGCTTATACACATAACTAAATGAGATATTATTTATGTAAGAAGTCCTACCAATATTCCCTAATACTCTCAACATCCTGATGTTCTCTGGAACACCTTGAACATTTATATTGAGCATCAAACTCCCTCTTAATCTGATACATGTCTACTGAGCGCCTCAGTATCTTCTGCACATCATGCATACATATTATGGGTTTTGCAAACGCAAATCAACTTTATCAAAACCTAATGCAGGAAAATGGTATTCATTTACGTTCTCGTAGCATTCCTTTATCGTGCTTGCAATGGTGTAAATCAAGCAAACATATCTAGCACCATGGGACACAACAGGAAACCATTTAGCCGCGTAGTAACCTAATCAGTCTTGGCTCTTACTTGGCCTAAGCTAATATTGCTTTGAGAATTAAGTCTAAGGACACGTAGGCTTGTACCAAAGCAAACTTGATACATACAGTTTATGACATTTGCAGGTCAGCAGTGGTTATCTACCCATAAACTCGAGGGGTCCGTATCGAACCAAAGCTGCGCACGCGCCCAGGCTTACTCCGCTTCAAATCCCCCCACCCCTTTCAACTCCGTTGGCGATCAAGATGAACTATCAAAGGCCCCCTTTCGAGCCCTTGCAGTACGTCCCCGCACGAGACAGAGAGACTATGCTTGATCTTCCAATTCGGGGGGTTGATGTCGTCGCCCATGACCCGCTTGAAAATGGCGGCAATCATTGGTGCTTTTATCTCAATGTTACGGATACTACTTCGGTGCAAATTGACATGACTCCGTCCTACAATATCCCTGGTGTCACAAACCCCAAAGGCAGCAAGGGCTTTTTGATCATTAGCTATCTAGAGCATGCTGTTCCGATATCGACCACGGCACAGAAAGTCGTGCGAATTGAAGCTCGCCCTGGCTGCGAAGCGCGAGATTTCATCAACTTAATACTGAGCCAGAAGCGTCATCAATATGAGTTTAACTTTGCAGGAGAAGGCTGCAGGTTTTGGACCACCCAGCAAATTGACCTCTTTGAAAGATCTGGTTTCCTCATCAACCCTTCCCAGGTTGGAGCCGCGAGGGACGCTACTTTGACCAAGTGGCCCACTGAAGTCGGGTACCCTCTTGTGGTTGGCACCTACTATCCCTGACTGTCATCTATCCATGCGCATACCTTGTGGATGTATTCCTCTGCGGGTTGTGCAGAATGCTCTCTGTATTACGCTCTGTTGAATTCATGTTTGGTTTTTTGTGTTTCAAACCAAAAAAAAAGACCTAGAGAAAAAATAAAAAACATACAACAGAAGGGATTCGCTGGTGGTCACCCACCCAACTACTAACCTCCCGGCGTGTGGCTTAAGTACGGCTGAGCGGACGGGAAGCCCTGTTTTCCACACCCTGTGGTCGTATGTACTAGTCCTTTATTGATAGAAGAATATAATGAGCACTTGTTGATTGAATACTATGTACTGCCGAGTTCCAGTCCCAGATCTTGTCCCAAAGGTCGAGCAGGTAGGGTCGGAGCGCCTAGGGTCCATGGTGTTTACAAAATTAACAACATCAAAAGGCAATAGTTGAAGGCGGTGGAGGTGCCTAATTGTCACGCAGTTATTCATTGCACGTTTGCTGATTGATCCTGAATGGCTTGAGCCAGAAAAAGCTGAGGCGCTATGATCATGTTGTGTCCGGTTTAACCGATGATATATTTCGATGTGGTTACTTATTAGTCTCATATGGGCCATTGCCCAACATTAGCCGTCAATAATAACAACTTATGAAGCGGCATTCATGCCAGCCAAAGCTGGAGATCATCTAGAAAAGAAGAATCATAGAATCCACAAAGAACTGTGTTCCTCATAAATACTATCCAATACCAGGCTAAAAAAGTCTAAATCATCAAAATCGATACCATGCCGATAGCTTCGTAGGAGTCATATAGACAAAGACACAAGTGACGCTACCATCTAACGCCCTAATTTTCCATGCTCACAAATTACTATATCCAATCTAGAACATTATTGCATGTTCTGAGCAGCGTGGACATGTGTCGCCAGATCCAGAAGACGATTCGAGTAACCCCACTCGTTATCGTACCATGCCATGATTTTGAAGAACTATAAACAAGTCAGCATGCCTCAGATCCATGAAGGCCACTGCGCCTACTCACCTGAGGATTCAGCTCCGAACATGCTGGTGCATCGATGATCGCACTATATGGGCTTCCGTTATAGTCAGCGCTTACGAGCTCCTCATCTGTAACCCTCAACACGCCAGCCATGCTGGACTTGGATGCGACGCGGAAGGTAGAAATGATTTCTGAGAGGGATGTGGGCTTTTCGGTGCTGATTGTAAGGTCGATCATTGAGACATTGGGCCTGTGTCCAGTTCAATTAGTAAGTGATGGTTATGAAGAGACCCCAGTGAAGCTTACGTCGGTACACGGATCGATACGCCCGTCACCTTGCCGCTTAGCTCGGGCAGCACTGAAGCAACGGCCTTTGAAGCGCCAGTAGTTGTCGGGATGATGTTGTTGAAGACACCACGACCTACAAACAGAGAAATCAGTTCCGGTCGATCAAACCTGTGTGGAATGGTTAACTCACCAAGCCGACGGTTCTTCTTGCTATACCCATCCAGAACCTGCTGAGACCGAGTAGCAGCATGAATAGTCGTCAAAAACCCCTGAGCGACACCAAAATTCTCATGAAGCACCTTCAACACCGGCGTAACGCAGTTCGTTGTGCAGCTGGCATTAGAAATGACCAGGTTCTCCTCAGTAGGACGGTACGAGTTGGAGTTAACGCCATAGACAAAGGTGGGCGAATCAGAGGGTGCAGAGATCAAGACTCGTTTTGCCTTTCCATAGGTGATGTGTTCTATAGCTTGGTGCGACTTTGTGAATTTGCCTGTACATTCGAGTACATAGTCGACACCCAGAGCATCCCATTGAAGCTTCTTCAGGTCGCGCTCAGAGGTCAAGGTAATGGGGTTGCCGTCTATGATAATGAGATTTTCGGATTTTATTTGGATAGATGTTCCATCGTCAAGGTCTCCCATGGAAGAGTCATATCGGATGAGGTAGATGAGGTCTTCGACTGTAATGCATGTGTGATTGATGGCTATGACCTGAATGTCTGAGCGGACGAGGGATGCGCGGAGGAGGTTGCGGCCTAGGAATGATGTTGAGTGCTTTGTGCTGTGATCTGAGGAGGTATAATAACATACCTATCCGACCAAAGCCGTTGATGCCTACTCTGCAGGCGAATGGTGAGGTGGAAATGCCAACTGGAGAGTCATTGGTGGAGGGAGCCATGATTATGTAGCTATGTAGTAATCGAGAATAGGCAAAAGAGTTATACCGAACTGAATATAATTATTTATCTAGTATAAACAAGGGTTTCCATCCCTTCACCTAGGGATCAACGTCATATATAATATGATACCAAATCGACTTCAAATCAGCCAGTATACGACACAGCCCGATTCTAGGAGCCGACAGACACTACGTCAGGAGGCATTGAATCGGCTTCCAACAAGTCCGACGGGACCGGGTAGGACACATGGCATCTATAATGATAACATACATCAACCGCCAGTGTGGACCTCGGATGTGACGGCTTATCGCGACCGGCAGCAAGCTGTATAGTCCGATCCGATTGGAGGACCCACACTTACTCCCGAATTTCGCAGAAAAGATCACCTCCGACGCGGCTGATGATGCCAAGCCCAGACATTCTTGAACGGTTGAACCAAGCCCCGGGAATTAAGTCGGGGTAAGAAACCTCCGAAGACCGGAATAGCCAACCCTGGTCTAGGGCTTAATAAACCGAGATGAATGAGGCTGCGGCATTTTGACCGGCAAGCCGCGGGGTGTCTATCTCCGGCATTTCTGTCAGCATCCTAATAGGTCCGTCATATTTCCCTATTCCCGTCCCACCTATCAGACCTTGCTTGCAGTACGCCATAGGTCTAATATTTGCTCGTGATTTTCAGCTGGTCTTTACTGCGGCTAGATGACAAGTATAGTGGTTACGATTCAGCTAGAAAACCCTTACGTAGGTGCGGCAAACACGGTAACCTTGAACTTGAACTGATTGTATCATCTAGAATATAATCCGTAAAACAGGTAAATTCGACTATGTCATAATTTTCGCCAACGTAACCCAGCAATAATATCATCAATCATGCATGTTCTCTCATCTCAACAGAGCAATCATCCTTCTCTTTGTTATAGGCGACCAGCTCTGCCGGAGTGATTTCTCCCTGGGGAAGATTACGCGCCATAGAGACAATTTGCCAAGGCGACGACGCATCCCGGAAGACATGGTTGATCAACTCCAAGTTCCGGTTCATCGTCTCTGGGTAGAAGAAGTACACCAAAACCGGGATGCACGCCGATAAGATTGCGTACATAATGTAATACCGGTAGCCGATGGTATCCAAAGCGACCGGAGTGACCATGACAACTACAAAGTTCCACATCCAGTGGTTGGCAGTGGAGATAGCAGACATGGCGACTCGAAGGCGCTGGGGCGCGACTTCTGTGCAGTACAGGAAATTACCGCCCAGGAAGCCAATGGGGTAGAAGAGATTAAACATGAAAATGAAAACCACCGATGCGATCGACGCCTGTCTGTTCTCAACTCCGAAGCTAGTGGTGATTGCCAATGCGGCCATACAGAATGCCATGCCACTTCCGCTGATCATGAATACCGCCCGGCGGCCCAGTCGATCAATGGCGAAAAAGGAGATGAAACAGCACACGAACTTCCACGTGAGTGCAGATGCTGCGAGGATCTTTGAGAGACTAGAGCTTAGGCCCAGGTTTTCTTCGAAGATAGTGGAGGCGTAGACCGAGATGAGGTTTCCACCACACATTTGCTGGAAAAATTGCAAGATGATGCAGAGACAGAAGCGATAGAACAAGCGCTCGTCATCATCCTTGGAGAACATCTCGCGGATCGCCCTTGTGGATTGAGAGGTATTCTCGAAAGACAGTTCAATACCAGAAATCTCCGACTTTATTGCTTCATCCTCGGGAGACATGCCCTTGTATGCGGCAAGACTAGCGGTTGCCTCTTCGGTACGGTTGACTCTCACTAACCAACGCGGGGACTCGGGGAGTAAGAAGACTGCGACCAAGATCACCAGTGATGGCAACAAGGAAAGCGACAGCGGTCCACGCCACTGACCGGTATTCTCATTGGGAAGTCGACTGAAGGCAAAGTCGATCCAATTGCACAGAGCATAACCGAGACACATAAAGATACCGTCGGCGATGACATGCTGACCGCGATGCTTGGCGGAAGAGCACTCAGATTGCCAAACAGGGACAGCAACACTGAATTGACCAGTACCGATACCCAGAATGATTCGGCCAACTGTAAATTGAATCAAAGAGTAGGCTGACACTTGTAGTAATTGACCGATGATGGTGAAGATAGACCCGATAAATATAGTCTTGCGACGCCCAAGACGATCCGAAATGACAGTACACGACAGCGCACCAATCAGCGCACCAATTTGGAAGGACGCAATGACAGCTCCCTTTCCAGTTGAATTCTTTGCCTCCAAAGCACCTGTTGTATTGATTGTGTCGATTTGAGGAAAGACCTTTACCCAAGATTGGAGGGTAGCAAGGGGGCCAGCCCCGGCCTGGTTGTAGCCGAAAATAATAAAAGCGGGAGCAACAATGAGGATAACCTGGGCCATGCGTAGAGCACTGCCAGTAAGGTGCAAAAGTTGTTGAGCCATTTTGAATGGGGTCTCAACCTAGAGTCATGAATGAGAAAGATGAGTAAACAAAAACAAACCTGATACTTGGGAAAATGACTGTGTTCCTTTATATAGGACGAACGAGGACTTTACCATCCCCGGACTGGTAAGAGGATGCCAACCCCGAGACATGCTGTCAATGACCTGGGGTCCTCGTAAATCTGGGGAAGCGCACAAGGATTTCCCCATGCATTGCGGGGAATACTTGGCGTTTGAATTAATGCGGCATTATGATTGGACCACATCACGACGATGGAGGAAGTGATAATCAGACCACACTCACCGGAGGTTGCTATGTCCGGCTACTTTCATAACGCAATTACATCAATGTGCAGAAAGACTTGCCATGCGTGCGCTGCTTTGTCGTAATAGGCTAAAAAATGCAAGAACTGATAAATATCGCATAATACTTGCATCTCCGAGATCGGAACAAAAAACCACAGAGGTTGATGATCATTTCCTGTCGGCACATCTCTTTCCCTATGTCTAGGATAGCCAGGGCGTATTAGTGTGTTCAACTTGGTAGCACTCTTAAGATATTCTACGAGCTGCATAAGGCGATCTGTGACTGGATTTCAGGCTCGGAGTTGTCCCCTCAGAGTTGAAAAGCGGGATTATACTTCTTATGCCAAGTACTCGCAACGTTTTCACCTTGTTCCATGATCTCCAATAATAGTGGTTAATATTCATTTACTATCTGTAGTTTATATTCGTAAGATTGCAATTCTATTTACAACAGAAGGCCCTCTTGAGCCAAGAGTACAGACATCCTAAAATTCTACTTAGAGCCCAGCTTCTTAATCTCGGCAACAACAGCATCGGTAACCTCCTTGGTGTTAGCCTTGCCACCCAAGTCACGAGTGAGCATGCCTTGCTCGCAAACATTTTCAACACAGGTCAGAAGCTTCTCGGAAGCCTCCTGCTCGCCCAGCCAAGCAAGCATTTCAGCCGCGGTCCAGAAGGTAGCAACGGGGTTCGAGATACCCATGCCAGTGATATCGAAAGCAGAGCCATGGATAGGCTCGAACATGCTAGGGTACTCGCGGGTAGGGTCGAGGTTGGAAGTAGGGGCAATACCGATAGATCCAGCCAGAGCAGCAGCCAGGTCAGATAAGATATCGGCGTGTAGGTTCGTTGCCACGATAGTATCAAGACTCTTGGGGTTCAGAACCATGCGGGTGGTCATAGCGTCGACCAGCATCTTATCAACAGTGACATCGGGGAAATCCTGAAAAGTTCGCATATTAGTGCTCGGATGATAGGAGGGGTGTTCAACAAGAGTGGCCTACCTTAGCCGTAATCTTAGCAACCTCATCCCACAGAACCATTCCGTTACGCTGGGCATTGCTCTTAGTAACAACAGTCAAGAGCTTGCGAGGCCGCTTCTGGGCGGTCTCGAAAGCGAAACGCATGATACGCTCCACAGCGTGACGGGTGAAGACGGAAACTTCGGTCGCCGACTCCCAAGGCTTGCCTGTGTGAGAACGACCACCCTGGCCCGCATACTCGCCTTCGCTGTTCTCGCGAATAATGACCCAGTCGAGATCCCCAATGTTGCAGTTGCGGAGGGGAGACTGGGTACCCCGGAATACTCGAGTGGGGCGAACATTGGCATATTGTTGGAAGGGCTGGCAGATAGCCAGACGAAGACCCCAGAGGGAGATGTGATCAGGGACATCTATACACGTGAGAATATTTCGTCTTCAGATGCCAGGGTACTCACCAGGGGCGCCAACAGCGCCGAAAAAGATAGCGTCGTGCTTCTTCAATTCGTCAAGACCTCCATCCGGTATGTATTTGCCGGTCTTTTTGTATGTCTCAGAACTCCAGTCATAGTGCTTGAAGTCAAGCTTGAAAGTCTGGAGGGTATCGGTCAAAGCATTCAAGGCGGTGATACCGGCCTCGATGACCTCGGGACCAATTCCATCCGCCGGGATAGAAGCAATGCTGTATGTTCTGCGAGTGACGGAGGGAGACATTGTGAATCAGGTGTGGCGGTGTGTGTAAACTTGAAGTGATTTGAGATAGTTGGAGGGGTAGCTGTAGTGTTTGCCCGGTTATAAGCAGTTTGGTGCCCAATGCGTGATCTGATTTTCTCTAGTTCAAAGTGGCAATCTGTTATGACGCTTAACTCTGTGGCCAATGAGGTATTTTGGTTCGGAGATGTTCAAGTCCGGTGGATGACCGGTTGAGAGAAATGAAGCGTCGGAGCTTTCCTTCTCCGGTAGATGGTCTCGACTCCAAGGCTCAGCGAGAAAAAATGACGGGAGACAGATTATGTAGTTGTAAATTCTCTCCAATCATGAGAATCTCGCATATTGCAAGTTTCGTAACGAGTAATCCGAACTAGATGGCAGCCTCTTGGGTGACTCGCATTGTCACGATGGGCTGACTAAGCCACGCTTCTATTGACAAAGTATACACATCCACAGGGCACTTGACCCTGACCCTGACCAACCCCTTATTATCTCAAAGGACGATAAAAGACAATCTCAAGATAAATTGGGCTGTTGAGTCAACCAGAGGATCTCTACTTTTTTTCGGTCATGTCTGGCGCTTTACATCTCATGAAGAGTGGGTAGGTCGGAGCAATA